ACGGGGCATCTGCCAGCCTGGCCGAACAGGCCCGTCTCGCCGAGGGTCATCGTTTGGCCTTAGAGACGGAGGTTCGTCAGCTGGAGATGCGCGAACGTCATCTGGGCGAGGAGGTGCGGCAGGCTGAGCGCGAATTGGCCAAAGCCACCGGCGCAATGAAGCAGTCGGAGTCCGCACATGATGCCCAACGACGTCAACTCACTGGCCGAATTGACCAGCTTTCCAAGCAGCTGAATAAACTGAAGATTGCGGATGAGGCCGCGGGTGGAGATGAGAGTGCAATGGGAGGTAAGTGAGCATGCGTATATGAATGCAACGTTATCTTGTTGAACCGGTTAAGTGAGTCTGTTAAGCTCCATATTGTCTATGTTGCCCGGACTTAGGAAGGCTTGCAGGTTTTCAGTGTGCACGTGTGTGCGTTGGTGACTGGCATTGACTAACTTGGCTTGGTCGTGGGTAATTGAATGTGCTGCACTGCGGCTGTTCACGATTGGTCACTCTGTTCTCATGGAAAGCTATCTGTAGATCATCTGTAATTTATTGGCCCAGCCGAGAACTCAAAGTAACTGCTCGCGGTGGTTGTCGTCGTTGTCCATTACCAGAGACGTAGCACCCGCGTTATAAGACTCGAGCTTGTGTTCTGCAGCTCTGTTCGCCCAGAAGATCACTACTGTGATGACTGCAGATGAGTAGCCATTCCTGTCTGTGTTTTGACTCCACACGTTTTGATTGATAGTCCCAGTTCCTCCTTTCTTATGGATATGGAAAGCAGCGGAGTTATATGGAAATTTACTTGCAGATGACTTGCGCGCTCATCGTGCTTCCTTTACCTGTCCTGCAGAATGTTAGTTAAATTTGCCCTGGATTTTGAATGTGTGAGCATTAAAACATCAGGTCAAACTGAATTGCAACCGGTACTGACGATCTGTTAAGCATATAATCCGATGAGTTCTTGCCGGCCATTTTATTGTGAGCGCTGCTCTTTGTCGCCAATCTAACGCGGGAAGTCAGAATAAACATTTAAGCGAACGTTGTCGCTAGTACTACTTATTCTACTACTACTAATACTACTACTACTGCTGCTTGAAGCTATATCCCATTTGAAAGTATTGATAGTCGGGTTCTGCCTAGATGAATGAAAGCTCATATCAAGCCACTGAATGCCGTCGTGTACACGAAACCCCTTATACTTTTGCTATTTGCAGGAAGAATATGATCGCGGGAAAAAAGAGTTTTATTAGTCTGATGTTTCGGATTCTCATTTAAATCCATCGTCAGAGCCTGCATCAGATAAGCCCAGCGTTTTCACCAGTGGTACGGCCGTCTACAAAACTTTTGGTCCACCGATTTTGTTCCTTTCCATGTGTCATTATTTTGTTTTTCCAGAGCCCCGTTCCTCTCCTTCCATTTCACCGCTTGCCGAAATAGCAGACTTCCTTTTTGTCCTGTAGTTAGCTGTCGGACTCTTGGATTATGGGATAGACCTTTTTGTTGGTTTAACCGCTGCCTGTTCGAAACTTTACCTCCTCACAGACTTCTGACTCTATCCTTTCTTCCTTGTTTAGAGAGGTATAACCAGGTCACTCGTACCCTGCGTGACCTCCAAGCCAAAAATGACGAGTTTGCGCGGAAATTTAATCAGCTTACCGTCGAATATGCTGATCCGGAACCTAATTTTGACCGACGACGAGTCCTTGGGATTGTGGCCAAGTTGTTTGATCTCACGGACCCCAAGTACGCCACGGCTATCGAAGTAGCTGCCGGGGGAAAGGTATGTCAGTCGACTCGTTTTTCGCGTTTCCGTTCTTTTGTTAGGGACCTGAGAGTAAATTCTGCCTTAGTCGAGTTGTTTCCTTATCTGCTCTGACAGATAACTTGACGAAGTCACCTTGGCAGTCCTTGGCCTATATATGTATGTATATGTATGTAGTGACTTTTGCCATGTATAGGCTGTCTGCAGGCCTAGTACAACGCCTAGTTTTCGATAGACTAACCATAATCGCAGGGTATCGTCTTCCTATGCTGGTATTAACTGGCAATTTAGCGGAGTGCAAGTAGTACTGTAACTATATCTGTCGAATCTATAAGTCAGAGTGGATGCTGATTTGGATCAGCGCTGAGGTTCATGTCAACCCGGGTTTTTGCTATTCCGCGTAATACATGTTCGTGACTGGAGCACGTCATGGCTGGCCTTTCTTTCAGCGTTCTCACCGCTATCCACCAAAGCTGTGTCAGACTTTACCAAGTTTCGGACTACGAGGGCTAGAGACTGCTGTTAGATGTAATATGTGAATGCTGAGGCGGCTAATACTAATAGGAATAAATGTATTGTAATGCAAGTTCAGTAGACACAGTCCACTAAATGGGAGCCCTGTTTTTACTCACCTTTGGGTTGAGTTTGTTTTGCATGCATCTATATGAATATAGTAAATAGTGGGCTTCCTATAGTAGCTAGTTAGACCAGATAAACTTTCGCCCTCAGTCTAACTTTAGTGTAACAGGTGAGAATATGAGCATACCACCTGAGGTGATTGTGTAGGCACCTGGGCTCATCCAGCAGGTAAGTTTTTCAGCTAACCTCACATTTATTACTGCTACGACTTGTGCTTATACTGTTAGGTCGTTATACTGATAGTACTGGTAGTGGCAGTCTCATTTCTATTTAACTGATAATGGGAGAGTGCAAGTACCATTAAAAGTAGAAATGATGAATGGAGTAAGGCGAGTGCACACTACAAGTACTACCCCCAAAGGACAGCAGTACGACAATACAGTAGCAGGTAGGTACTGTAGGACCGTCTAAGTCAGTGTAACAGGAATAGGGCAATATTAGTGATGCTGCTAGTATTAGTGATAGTGGTGATACTAGGACATCAGGGCTTTCGTTGGTTTCCGCCCACTCAACTTTATCCATCAGGCTGTGTCATCTTATTGGTTAGCGAGACGTTATTGAGTAAACTCGTAGGTTCTGTCATGTCTTTATGTCGCATGATGCTACTTGCTGTTATCTTTTTTGACTTATTGCAGTATCTTACTCTATCTTGAGGTTTAGGGGACATCTCCTGTCTAAAAGGAGGGCAATCTACTCCATAATCAACTAGCATTGGTACATCCTATAACTGTGTCAGGTGCTGAATAGTAAACAACACGCAGAGCAG